CTGGATCTGTTTTAATGATATTTTGGGAAACAATGTATCCCAGAAATTTGGTTTCCAATTGAAAGAATTTAGACTTTTCAAGTGAAATTTTCATGTTAGCGTTTTGCAATATCTGAATTATATGAATTAGATCTTTATAATGTTGTTCTATAGTTTTTGAAAATATTATTATATCGTCCATATAAACGTGACAAGTTTTCCCAACTTGTTCTCTAAGTATATCGTCCATTGCCCTTTGGAAAATTCTGGGAGCGTTCGTCAATCCCATAGGCATTCTTAGAAATTCATATTTGCCGTTATTTATGGAAAAAGATGTTTTTTCAATATCTGATTCCCTCATTAAAATCTGATAGAAACCTGACTCTAAATCAATGGCCGAGAAATATTTCGCTTTACCTAAATTGGCAAGGATTACTGAAGGATCTTGCATAGGGTATCTATCCGGTATGGTGTTTTCATTAAGTTTCTTAAAGTCTATTACTAATCTATGCTTAGGAGTTCCGTCCTCATTTACTCCCTTCTTTGGTACTACTATTACCGGTGAATTATATGGGCTTTTACTAGGTCTGATTATACCTTCATCTAACATTTTACTTATTTCGTTATTAACGAAATCGTTAACCGAATAAGCGTATGGATACTGCTTGCCATATACCGGTCTATCGTGTTCAGTGTTAATCTCTCCTTTTATATCCGTTCTGAACGGTAACTGTAAATTTATATTGGCATGGTCTTCTTCGATGATAGATACCATTTTCTCTCTGAGATTTTCTAAATTGTCCTCTTTGTAGGTTATTGTGTTATACAATTTCATTTTTTTCAATTCAGAATTTGCATAATTTTGAATGTCGGATATTTCTACGACGGCGCGTTCAGGATTTTTGCATCCCAAACTTTTAAATTGTTCATTGTCGGATAATTCAACGACGGCGTGTTCAGGATTCTTTAATCCCAAACTATTCGAACTTTTAGTGTCGGATAATTCAACGACGGCGGGTTCAGGATATTTGAATCCCAAACTATTGACGGATAATTCTTCGTCGGCGTGCTCAGGATTTTTTGATCCCAAGCTATATAAACTTCCTTCTACCTTTACTGAATCGCTTTTCATTTCTTTTTCTTCTTCAAAATATTTTTTTATTATATATTCCTTCAACGGAAGGATGGTTTTTCCTTCTATAAAGGTTAATTTGTTTAAAGAAAGGACCTCGTCATATATTAGTTTCTCCTCATTGTCTTTATAACCTAAAGTCCCCTTTCCTGTATCAATAACCGCTCCGATTTTCTTTAATAGGTTAAATCCTATTAGTAAATCTGCCTCCATTCCATCTATTTCATAAAACACTTGCTTTGTGTTGAAAATAGTTATATTATGGAAATATTTAATTATTGAAAACCCATTCACTGTAGCAACTTTCTTATAGATTGGTAATTCTTTTTTATTGTCGTAAATTCCTTTTTTTATATAACAGGAAGTTGCTCCCGTATCTATCAAAACTTTTAATTCTCTGTTTATTTTTTTGTCTACTCTTTTTAGGTAGGGCAGACCTACTTCGGGGGCTGATCTAAAAAATGATCCTCCTCAATGTTATTTATCCTCATTGCTTTATTAGCCGGTTGTTCCGACATTTCGTTTAGCTTTCGTTTCTGCGCTTGATTGTCGTTAGACTGATTATTCGGTACTACGTTTGCCCTAAAATGCTGGGCTTGGCTATAATTGTTATAATTGTTATTATTTCTCCTATAATAACCGTTAGTATTCTCCCGATAGTTTCTATTGTTATTATTTCCCCTGAATTGATTGCTGTTCTGTCGGTTCCGGATTTGTATAGATTCGTCTACCTCCATTGGTTCTGGGGCCTGATTTTGTTGTCTATTACCCAAGAAATAGGGTTGTCCCCAAGACATGTTATTCCTCTGCAAATCCCTTTTTTGGTCGAATGGTGAACTGTTAGTCCTAGGTTGTCGTTGGTTGAATCTTAAGGTATTAAAATTATTATTCCCTGAATTTCTGGGACCGCTGAATTGGTAGGCAAATTGGGCCCGAATGTTATTAGATTGCAATTCCTGTACCTTTGCTAAGGCATTCGGTAAATCTGGGGGATTCAATGAAAATAGGATTTCAGCAATGCCGCCGTTTAGGCCAGTGACAAAAATGCGTAAGGCATTGTCTCTAATTTTTTTATTTGATTCCTTGGTGATCTCACTGTCCTTTCCGTGAGTCATTATTGTCTTATTTATTAACAAGGTCATTTTCTTGTTAACCTCGTTATAGAAATCTATAATTGAAAGGTTCCCTTGTCGGAGAACGCTTAATTCCTGTTCTATTATGTAAATAGGTCTCTTGTCACTGTAAACAAAGTCAAGCCGTGAAAGTATGGCATCAAAATTTAGAACTGTCCCGTGGTTGGTCAGTGCGTCATGTGCTGGTCCTGTTATTTTGTTTCTCAAAATTGTTAATGCAATATAATATTGCTTACTTCCTTTCTTATATAACTTCACTGCAGTTTCTGCAGCTTCCCTCCATCCTACATATTGGTTTAATCCACCATTAAAAATTGGTAGGGACTCTATTACCTTCAATGTGGTGTCGTCTCTTATTGTCTCGTCTATTGTTTCTGCCTGATAATCCGATACCTGATCGGATTTAGTTTCTATTTGTTGTTTTAAATTTACAATTTGCTCTTGTACTTGTGAAATTTGAAGTGCTATCAATTGTTTGACCAGATCTGCTGTGAGATCGGTCCTTGCTTGAGAGTTAATCATTTTTAGTTTTTCAAAATCTAAAGTTAGCTGATCCACTTTTAATTTTTCTTATATGTTAGTTTTTATAATCTTATATATCCTAATTGAACTTATATATTTATTAATACAACTCTTGCTCACGAAATATCCGGTAGGGGTCGTCCTTCTTAGTTTGGCAGATCTTCGAACGGGTCTTCCTTCTTAAATTTCTTTGCTCAGCTGGGTCTTCTGGGGGTCTTCCTTCTTTGGCTTCGCTGATCGTTTCACCTTCTTTGTATTTTGGTTTTGTCGGTTTTGTTGGTTTTGTTTTTTAAAAACTTTGGGTTTCTTTGGTTTTTTTTGTATTTACGAATTGCCTTGATTAGCTTTTTGTTTTATTTGTATTTTGCGTTGTATTTGTATTTGTATTTGTATTTGTATTTGTATTTGTATTTGTATTTGTTTTTGCACACCCTAAGCTCCGGTTTGTTTCCTTTTTATCTCACTTTTTTTTTATCTATATCACACAGTCACTCCGCGTTTTTAATTTTGAAGGATTTATTCCATTAATTAATTGTCCTTCGGGTTTCGGCACGACGCAACACTTTTATCATTCGGTGTTTTTTAGACAACGTCGCCCCACGTTGGGCGCCAATTAAACAATAGCGGTAGCGGATTGTGTTTTTAAAAAGTTTTTATTTTACTTCGAACTTCACTGATATAGATTTAAGTAGAGGGTCACAAAGGAATTCCGGGCAAGGGATTGCGCGATCTTAATATTGAGCTAGACTTTGCGGTGTCGCTGCTGGATCAAGACTGATTTGAACTTTCTGATCTTTGCATCGTTGATCCCTTTCGGGAATCATTTTTCTATAAACATTTCAATTGATTTCGCCATCCCGAGTATTGGATTTCGTCATCCAAAGAGAGAACTGTAAAAGGCCTAAAGTGCAGGATCTGCAGAAAGCCGGGAGTGAGATTGTTTATGAGAAGCCGGGTGTGGGCAAACATTGGTTTTCCATTTAGGCGAGTGTCAAAGATTGGGATTGCGGCGGGGGCGCTTGAGATTGTACATCTTAGAAATCAATTAGGCGGAGGCCCAAGATTGAAATTGTTTTCGTTTTGGAAAGCCAAAGATTGTTTACAACTCGTATAAGAGCTCAATGGAATTGGGTACGTTAACTTGCATGCTTTAATTAAAGGCTCTTCAGATTGTACTGGAAAACAACTACAAGAACACATGAAGTTTTTCATTGCTTTTAAATCTTTAGACACTATTGAGGACTCCTTTTTGTATATACATACATTTTTGCTTAAGTTGCATTCCTAAGTAAATTAATTGAGATGAATTCAGTCAGCTACATACATACAACTATGTATATGTATGTATTTATATATGTATTTATGTTTGAATGAAGCTATGAAGAAGACGAGCCGGCGAGCAGACAGGAGAAACTTTCACATACATATGTATGTTAATGTTCCTCTCGTAGATGAAGATACAAATCTGCACGAAGCCTGTTTCCTGTTGTGCTGAGGGTGCATTTATTTGCATGACTCACACCAGCAGCTACAGCTAACGATACTCACATAAATGCTGAGCCCTCATACAGGCTGCAGGTGCACACCATAATGAAGATGGCACGTTGTTGAGGAAAAAATATAAACACGACATATGGACCTCTCTACCCACATTGAAAAGCGAATCATTTTTAGCATCATTTTGACCAGCACGATGATTCTGTTGAGAGTGACGTCCTTTTTGGGCGACATAAGAGGCACATTCGGGGAAAATGTTGAGTTGCCCTTTACTGTTGGGTGCTTTTAGAAAAATTAAAGTCCAACATACGAGTATGTATATGTTATACGTATGTATATATACATCGCAGGCGATAGCTACAAGCAAAACAATAAAAGTAAATTAAAGACGTTGGTTAAACGAACACCCATTTAATAAAGTACACTAATAATCATATTTTATTTAAGTTCTTAAGTTTTAATAATAATAAAAGACTTCAATTCGATTATTGTTGAATTAGTTTAGATCAGACATAAAAGTGCTATTTGCTATTTATATAAAATAAATTAGATTTCTTAGTTAAACTATTTCACATACGACACAGATAATAAGGCGCTCCAATAGAACTATGATTCCGATCAATAAGTATAATCATATGGTTTTACAAATATGAACAATATTTTTTCCAAAGTCACAAAAGAAGTTCAATGCAGAAGTCAAACTTCATTTATAAGTAAGGAAGTTGTTAGATAGAACATATAAAACATAACACAGTATAATGTTTTACGCCATGGCTGTATTGCCAACATTTTGAATTCCACCGAACAAAACAAAATAATTGTAATTTCTCTGAAATCGTGCACTGACTAGATAAGACAAATAGCGGTTGTTATATCAGGACGACGGGTATTCTGAGCGGATATTCAGCATAACATTGCGTAAATATAGATTGCACCTTTTGAAGCTGACTTATAATTAAGCTGATTAGAATTATGTATAAATATATTAGAATAATGGTTGGGCTTAATAAGAGTGTTGATACGGTTGTAGCTTCTGACGGCGTTGATAGCAATAGGTCCAAATGGCTATAATAGCCAGCTGAGTAAGCAAAAATATTGTGGCGGCTGTAATGAGACCTAGACGAAAAAGGTGAGTAATGATTGGAAAAAACGCGGAATAATAATTAAGTTAATTATGATAGGTAAACGTTATCATTTCAGAAATTATCTTACCAATTGCGTTCACGCAGAATCCATGGCCTTCTTCACTAGCTGTAAATGTGGTTTCATTGCCATCATAATAATCGCCACTTTCTTGCTTATTGGGTTTAAAGCCGAATTTGTCTGTGATTTGAATTGACTGAACAAGCAACATGTCACTGGGGATAGATTTCATTGACATATCGATATCCCGACGCGTACGTGACATATTATCTATGGAGGATAAACGGTTTCATATATAGTAAATATATAGAATATTCATCCAAACTTTACTCAGCTTGAACAATAAATTACCTGTTATATTAAGAGACCTTCGCTTTCGACCATAGGACACCAATGATCTAAATTCACCGCTGGTGTCTTCCTGGTCGCATTGGACTGGCTCACAGCTCGGCATGCAAGGTGTCACTAGTGCCCGGAACTGAACGACCTCACTTGAAGGAAACTTAAACGCGTCGAAATTGGAGAGTAAAACCTTGCCGGTAAGGGACTCCTTATAAATGGGACCCATGATGAAGTGATCGGTTGGGCATCCATTAGAGTCGATCAAGGTAATTTCCGAGTTATCTACGCCGTCCATAGCTACCAACTCACGAATAAAGATCTCATATGGACTTTGCTCGTCAACAATTTCAAACTTTAACGCCAGTGGATCTCCTACTTCAGCAGAGCGCATCATATCTGAGCCATCTCGGGAGGTTATACGCATTATCACATTTGGTGAGTCGACAATGACTTCCTCAGAAAGTGCTGGCATAATATCGCCGCGCACATCTAGGTCAACGCCATTGCTAACAGACTTATTTGTAAGATCATACTGACAGGCCAATGCTAAACCCAAGTCTGACGACGTTACTATCATGTCATGGTGCTGTATAATTATATCATTGATGTAGCGTCCCGAACTGCTCTGGCGGACGTTACATTCTAAGTCATGGTAATTCATACGAAATTCGAAATCTAATGCGCTCTGAACATCAATTGCGCAGGATTTAGGGGAACCTTTGGCGTACACTTTTCCATTAAACAGTTTCGAGGTGCGTATACGAGCCAGCATATCTCCGCCACCGCACTCTATAGTCACGTTATAGCAAGATGTCAACTCGTAGGTTGAGGCTTCAGGAACCTCCAGGAAAGGTTCTTGGACATCAGCGAGAGTGGCACGACTATGGTGAGATAAGCGGCATACCATGTCCCCAGTATCGTTGTAGTCATACGAGTGACATCTAGTCGTAGAAACATCTATATTAACAAAAATTCTAAATAAAAGTCAATATATTTTCCTCACCTATAAGGGGAATTGAGGCAAAGCTCTCGACACTCATCAATACTGCTTACTTCCTGATATACAGAATCGACTGTTTTTAGAATACGTCCGGGTAGACGCTTAAATTCGCACAACTTATTTGGTTCGTCGATGCAGTGATTTTCCAGATAGTCACTTCCTTCTTGTGTCTGAAAAGCGTTCGAACCAGCCAAAGTTAATCGATCAAACTCACTCAGTTCACATGTTCCAGAGACTCGATCATAGTTAGCTGATCTATAAAGTTAGAAACAATCTTTTAAAAATGTATTTATACCAAATGATAAGAGGTTTTTCTAAGCTATATATATTAATCTATTCTTAAATTGTTCCATTTGTCTGAGTTATGTGGTTGGATAGTGTATTAAAAAGTATTTTTCTCAGAAATGTCTTACAGCCGATGGTTCTTATAGTAGCTGTATGATATTCAGATTTTTAATGGATTAGGTTTTGTTACTTTTTCTAAAAAAAACAGTTTTTCCCATAACGAGTTTTCCTTTGACCGATTGTTCCTATGGCATCTACATATGTATATACATATGTATGCACTTATATAGTTCTTTGTTCCTCTCTGGGTGTTTTTGCTACTTGCATACATACATATGTATATGTACATATACATACTGTATTCATCAGATATAAGGTTATGTTAAAGTTTCAGCCACGCCACACGCCAGTCTTTTTTTTTGTGGACTGAAAACTCGAATCGTAAGAGTTCTTACCTGCATGTGAATTCTGTTTCGCTCAGACAAAGTTCAAAGCACTCGCGCCTTGACGTCAGCGACACGGAACGCTTAACTTCCGTCTTTAGCTTATAGTTTTGAACACGATCGACATACCAAGCTCGAGCACAAGGTTTCACGGAAAGGCATGATTTTTGCGCATAAATTGTAAACACGGGAAATTGTGATTTTGTAAGAGCACCTAAAAGAAGTAAAAATATGTAAAGAGGTAAAAATAGGCCAATTAGGAATTATTGAATTGCTAGTACTAATTTATATTAGCAACTGAATGATATGTTTATATATGATGCTTGAATTTGCCTACCTGGCAACTGATCAGCGTGGGCGGAAAAGAGCACGCAAAGTCCTGTTTCGTAATTAACTGACTGACAAGTTTTATTTTTCCTACACGTGTCCAGGCAATCAGTAAGCATTAGCGTGCCTGGCAAAGAATCCATAAGTTTTTCAGGAGCTGAGAATACATATCTATTGAAATTATAGTAATAGAATTATTATGGAATTATAGTAATATAATTCATTCAATACCTTATTGTAAAAGTGTAATTCAGTTTTTTACTCACCCTGTAACAATTTCAAAGCCTACAAGATCAGGATTACAATCTATCGGTGCATTATCATAATAAATTCCACCCTCTTCAGAACCAGATGAGCTGGATACGACTTCCTTTGAGTCTAAATCTGAAGCGGCCGACAAGTCAAGAGCTGAGTTGCGTGTTTCAGCCGTATGTGCTGGATCTGTACCAGTTAAGATTAAAACTGGCTCAGTTTGTGAAGCAAATTGATGACTACTAGTATTTACTTCAGTAGTCTTTGCCTTTGATGCTGGTATTTCTGTGGGATTGGCAATCTGTTCAAGAACATTTTCTTTGTTAACAGAGGGTACTGCTGCTGTAACGGACTCTACGGCTAATCGGCGCATTCGTAAATGTTCTTTCGCTGTAGCAACGCTATATAGCATGAGCGCTAGAAATATTTGACGCATTAAATTTATGCGTTGCGGCGTCTTAGCCATTATAACGATATGGCTTCTATCTGCAAGTAACCAAAAATAATGAATGTTTAAAAAACATAAAAAAAAAATGTATGTCAAATCGTTTTACACCGCTATATGCAGTAGGAGAGCAACAATGAGAGATATTCAAAATAAACAACATTTGAAGAAGATTGATTGTATGTTTAAAAACAGAAAGAAAAATGTATATATAAAGAAAGACCTGTATTTCAAAATGCTTATTTTACTGCGAATATTATGTATTTTCCTAGCAGACAGTTAAATATAACATTTTACATATATATTTATTAGGGCGTTAATATTGTTGTCTACTAAGCTCGCACTATCTCAATCTTCTTAAATTAATTTTGTTGGCATAAGACGTAACGAAAATAATGAAATCCCTCAGAAAAGCAACATCTCGGATACAAAATTTGTTATGGCGGCGCAGCTTACGAGTATATTAACCTGGCACGTCGACGACCTTATTGCACTATTCACAACTATTCTTAAAATTGTAGGGAGTGTGAGCTTATATTTTTCTGGTTCGCTGAGTTATATTCTTGCGCAACTGCTAAGTTAATGGCCATCGTTTATGATTGACGGTTGTGCTGTTAAGACTATTAGGGTTCATGAACTCTAATTCTACCTGAAGTACATATCGGTTTAGAACAGAGTTCGGTTGAAGTATATAATCTATACATTGCACCAAAACAACATTTTTGATTACGTTCATACACTAAATTTTGTATTAGACATATGTGCGTGTGTGTTAATGTATAGACATACATATGTACATAGGTTATTGCACAATACAAATTTAATACTTTCATGTCCGATTATAATTTCTTGTAGAGTTTTTAATTAGAAAAGCATTTGAAGCATGACCTATTGTACTAACTCTTAAAATACTAACTGTATAAAAAACATACATATGTACATATTTATAATTTTCCGTCAGGCTCGCTATTCTAACAGTTATTCTGTGTGGATGTTTATGAATATACATTTCGAAGCAAAATGAGCGTGCAACAAGATTGCAAGTCGATTGTATGCATTACCGCCAATGCCAACCATCCACCAGGCACCCTAACCTGTCTTGGCTACGGTACTTTGGACCCATCCCCAAACTGACCAGTTACCATAGTAGTTTCACCAAATATACATATGTACATACATGTACATTATATTTACATAGAAAACGATTTACTTATTACGGTTTACGCAGCGGTCTAAAGAACCCATTACATTTACAAAAATAATATGCTTGAAAGATTTTTGAGCATTATTTTTAGATTTTATTTTTGCCCAACAAATCTTAACTTGTCGGTCTGGTGCACACGTACAGGAATGCCAATGTAGCATGTAAGGAATGACCACTCGGGAAGCTGCGTTATAACAAGTCCATGACCATTTTTATATACACAAAGCTTGTAGAAAGCGGCAGAAGAATTAGGTCAATGATTATCGTCAAAAAGTTGTCTTGCTGTGCATAGACATATGTACATACATACATATGTATAGGTTGCAGTGCCCGCGGAGATCAGTTCGAACCTAACCGGTATGGACGCCAGAAGGAAGTGGCACTGCCTAACTATGCCGTTGATCTCATCCGATTAGTACAATTAGTCACTTATAGCCTACATTTTTTGTTCAAAATCTACCATTTATTAATGGAAAATGGTTTAACACGATATTCCCCCTATGAAACCAAGCACGGCTGCTGATATTAATATAGAAAATAATAATTTGAATAAATAGTATGTCTCAGTTATACTTAAATGTTCTTTAAAATAAGAACTTTCCATACTTTGACGGACTTCACTTCGATTCACACTTCGCTTATTTTCGGATGCATGATGTAATTTAAAATCAGCACCAGCTAAAAGTCAATAGAAATCCGAACTCTGAAAGGAACCGCCGAAAACTTTCACCATTCTAAATGTGTTAATGATTTCATTTGATTATTCACTAGAAGGGGAAAATACTGTTCAATCTGGTGAATTTATTGTACTCAATTATTTGTGCGTATTCCATTTTATAAAATTATTAAAAATTTGGTTTTTCATTTATGTAGCTAAAAGATAGAACTAGTAGTCACATAATTATTTTTTCTGGCGACATACGTATATTAAAAAAAAGGGCTAAACTATGTTTACATCTACATAGGGTGCTTCTTTTCTAGTACAGAAACCTTTAGAATTTCATGCCACACGGCGTAATATATGAATCTCTCTCTGTAAGTGCTTAAGTTTACTTTTTGTTGCTAACTATTTTCCACTGTCTGTCGAATAAGCCAACCGTGCCCTATTCACGTCCAACAAGCAGCCAGTCAAGCTGAAAGAGTATTTTCAACCTTATGTTTGCTAATGTTTTGACGGCACTATGAGGCTATATCACTATTAAAGAGTTCCTTGCCTTAGTGCGTTTCTACACCGGTTGCTGCAACATCTTCTTTTCCTCCATCTCAGTTCACTTATTCAGAATGATTCTATCCCTTTTTTCAATGCTTGCATAGTCGTCCATCAGCTTGATCGCTGCTGTTCGAATAAACCGGTTAATACTTTTTTGTGATTTTTCTTAGTTATTCTTCAGTTAGAGCAAAGGTTTACATAGCTGTCTTCGCGTATCTTGCATAGCGGTTTGTTTCAAGCCAAAGACTTAAGAAATTAACTTGAACGATTACTGTGTTTGACACATTGGGAGTCATTAAAAACTATAATATGCAGCTGGAATTCTCAATAAATAAACAACAGTTTTTATAATGTATAGATTCAAAAGAAAAGTAGTGAAATTTTTCATTGTTGCTCTCTAAAAGGCCAACTAGTAACAACAAATTTTATAGCTTAGTAACAGTAATCTGAACAGTTTTATACCATGGACAAAATAACAAATTACCTAAGCACCAGTTCAAAAATCGATTTACACACGTTTACAGTCAATCCCGTAATACAGGCTCTAGCTTATCACACTAATCACAACAGAATAGGGAAACACTTTCGAAAGAAGTTGCACTTTACAGAGGATACAAAGAAGAAACCGAACTTGACCATTCAATGGTTGACGCAGAACTGAAATCTTCAATGCCACCAAGTGACTTGTTATAAAAATTAGATAAAGAAGTTCTGAAGGCGCAGCCAGGTGTGTTGGTCTTCAAGAAATGCGGCAGCGCACTACCTGCTTGAAGCTGGAGACCCAACATTTTCAAGAGAATGAAATTGGAAAGAGAAACAGAGGAATTCTGACAAAAGAAAGTCTTAAGGCAATGGATGCTTGAAAGAATCTCAAATGAAAAGAAATTGTAAGCATGGTAAATCTCACCTGTAAAAAGTCTCCACAAAAACTCTACACATTCATACTTCAACGATCGAGAACACTGTGCACCTGTTTTCTCTCTTTCTCTGTTCTCTTCGCCTGTTAATAACATGCTCATTCGTACATATGTACATGTGTACCTACAAAAACAACGTTTCCGCCATACAAGCTCTATTAATTTTGGTATGAACCTGTTAACGTATAAAATACAGGCCCACGAGTACAAAATTGACGTGGTAATAGGGTTTTCTAAGCTTACAAATGTTACTTACTTTTATATACTTTTCACTTTCACTAATATTGTACATGTGAAATGGTTTTTTCCCTATTTTCTCATTTTCTTGTCGTTAAGGCTTAATCGGATTAAACCAAAGCTGCCTATACAATTTGTGTGGGCTACATTTTGACTTTTTTTGTTATATTTCGGGTAGCATTTACGGCTAGATCAATGATATTTCACAAGCTCTCAGAAAGTTGATTAGCCCACATTTTTGGCAAAGACATCAGATTGCTGCTCCGCAAGCTGGCGTTGCTTTCAAAGTATGTAAAATAAGAATAGCCCATCAAACGGTGTTTGATTTCCAAATTTATGGGTCAAGCAAATGCAAATCAGTTTGTGGTCCGATTTTCTCAAGAAACGGGTCGTGCTTGGATAACAAATGGAGTAAACAATAAATATGTATGTATATATGTACATATAAACAAATATGGCCATTAGCTTAATACAGTTAAAAAGTTGATTGAGCGTTAAATAGAGTCAAAATGTAAAAACAGTCAACCTTTGTTAATCCTCGTATAATTTTTGAACAGCTATTACTCATTAGATTTCAATAGATTGTTATTGAAGTAAGAGTAATGTATCAAAATGGACATACACAACTTAAAAGTGTGCTCCATGATTAAGACTACAAAGAACGGAAGATGGTGATCGTGCTATCATTACTTCAGAACGTAAAATAAGAATGTGTGTTTCATGGAAACAACATATTATTGCCCTTTTACGTTAAATTTACTTTTGAAAATGTTTAATTAGCCTGCAACTTCATTACTAATGAGAAAAGTGCTCAATCGGCAACGTGCCAGTATTGAAATATACTTTTCAAGAAAACTCAGTGATAAGAAAAGTGTCTTTCTTAATTACAAAATAATGTTCCAAACTTGTATTACTGTTGGCTCATTATTTTCACTGCTATATTCCAATGCCTATTTCAGCGTGTATAAATATGATTCATTTTTAGGGCAATACGGTTATTGTCTAAGACTGAGTTAAACGATGTACAAATTAAAGTCGGTGTACATTTTGTTTATTCTCTTCCGTTTTTTTTTAGCTTCTGAAGAAAATCGTCAGAGTCCCCGCATAGTAGGCGGATATCCGACTGATATTTTTAACGTACCATATATAGTATCCTTGCAGCTATACGGCAACCACCATTGTGGCGGCTCAATAGTAAATAATCGTACTATTGTAACAGCGGCCCATTGCCTTGCCGGCATACCGCGACGCCTGCTAAAAGTCAAAGTTGGTGGATCAACGCGTTCTCCTACAGATGGACAACTATTCTCGGTTGCTTCAATTCATTACCATGAAAAATGGTCTGCCAAGTCAATGGATTATGACATTGGATTAATACGATTAGTCAATGAGTTGAAATACTCCAGAAAAGTTTGTGGTATGAGCGTTCTACCTGCTCCAACATATTTACGTTTTCTTTTTCAGGTAAAAGCTATTGGGATGAATCATAGAAAGATAGCCGATGGCTCATTTGCAACCATTGCCGGATGGGGCTTTACAACTGCAGACGGTGCCAGTACACAAGTTTTACATTTCGCCCGAGTGCCAATTGTCAATCAGACAGTTTGTAGAAATTTACTCGGAAATAGAGTTACGGAACGTATGATTTGTGCTGGATATATAAATAATGGGGGTGTGGATGCCTGTCATATGGACTCTGGCGGCCCCTTAGTAGTGAGAGAGGAATTGATTGGCATTGTGTCATGGGGAATTGGATGTGCATTAAAGAAAAAGCCTGGAGTCTATGCACGAATTGAGACTTTGTCAATTTGGTTAAACAATCTTATGAAAAAACTGAGCACTGAAAAGGATTAACAATATCAACAATTATCATAACGCAAATGTAAAAAAATTTAGTGTAATCAAAAGAAGAGCAAAGAATAAGAGAATAACGAAATAATTACTAGTTATATGGCAGTAGACCGGTGGCAAAGCAAACAAAATTATTCAATTGGTGCTATTATCGCTCGGCACGGCATATTATTTGTTAGTCGATTAAGTGCTATCATTGCAAGGCGAATGACCACTTTCGCATTTAACAATAGCATTGAGATTAGACTGATTTTGGATTTAAGCAGCTCGAAAAAAACTTCCCTATTTAAGGTAATCGAATACGGAATTTCGGATCATATGTTATATTGAAATAAGAAACTCGTAAATTTGTATGCAAAAGCGAATAGGCCCCGAATCAACCGGGGTTGGCAGACCTCCTGGCCCCGCGTGCTAAACTGAAACGCTGAACGCCGATGATGCTGGTATAGGATATTTTTTCAGAAAAGCACTGTAAAATTTCTAATTGTGATGATGCTTTGTAGTATATCTGATATGAAACTTCCTTTAAAATCCGAACTCTCTTGTTTGGATAAGAACAAGTCGGTAAGTATAACCTGCAAAAATTGGAATCAACATATAGAATATATACAACATAAAAAGAACACTGTGCAGAGTACTAACAAGACACAAATGAACGATGTTATTTAGTTATTTTATTGAAAATAATAATTTAATGTCGTGGGCCTGAAATTTATAAGTGTTTTTAGAAATATCTGTCGACTTGCTCGAATATATGTAGTACGGTGTGACCATTTTTGACTGGCTAGGAAAGATTCCCGACGGAGAAATAGTTTACTGGATAGGTGTCGAATCTAACGAACTTCTCACTGCGCTTACCCATCCCTGTTCCCTCGCTCCACAGTCTTTGGGGAGCCGTTGGCGGATAGGCAGCCTGGTTCAAGAGACGCATACGGTGTCCGCTGAGCGGGGAGGTAAAATCATTGGAATACTCCTGTTGATCGTAAGTCTGCGATAGGCCGGCGAAGCTGTCCAGTGTTTCGCTGATGAACCCACCCTTTTGACGACCCGGCTGTGCCTTCTTCTTCTTGGTCTTTGGCTTGTTGCGCATAATAGGCTTTTTGGGCTCCTGGTGTACGTTGCCCTTGCCGTATATCCAGTCGAAACGTTTCTTTCGCTCACCGAGCACGCAGGCGCCGTATTGGACGTAGGGATTCGGAGGATGAGGGAACATACTGGGCATGGCCCAGTCGTTCTCATCGTACTGTGTGTCAGTGTGCTTCACGTGCGACTTCTTCAGTCGTTCAGGATGCATGAGGCCGGCCGGCGGGGTGACTCCAAACTCATACTCAGCCTCACTGTCGGTGGTTTCAGAGAGGACGAGGTCTTCTTCACAGCTGTCGATCTGGCGTCGCTCGCACTCTTTTTTGAGTTGGTAGACCAGGCGCTTTTTGTCGATGAAGCTGCGGCAGTAGCACTCGGTAACGGGCTTGTGGCAGGAGCACTTGCTGAATCCCATGCTCTTGAGGCAGCGCTTTAAGTCCCGCACCTCCTTCAGTAATGGATTCTTTACGATGCGGAACTGTACGGGTTTCATGTTGACGTAGGGGTTGGCGGACCGTTTCAGTGTTTCCGTGTCCTTGAGTGGGCGCAGCGTGATGATGAACTCGTCGTTCTTCTTCTCGATGTGCAGCGTCGGCACCTGCACCAGGTCCTCGGGCTTCTCCTCGTAATCGGCCGGCGGTGGCGGCTTGTGATTGTAGTAGGTCATGTACTTCGACACGGGTATGGTGTCCACGGGGTAGTCCTTGAGAAAGTAGCGCATCAGCTCTCGTATGGATCGTCGGATAGCACCCGGTCGCCACCCCGGCTTCTTGGCCAGGGGGTGGGCGGTCCAGAGCCATCCCATGTGGCTGGGCACCTTCGAATCCCCGTCAAAGCAGTGAGCATGGTTGCGCGCCGCATGTCCCTCTCTTTCTCTGGGTAGCATTGCGTAGAACTTGGACTTGAAGGGCATTTTTCGGCGTGAGGGTCGTTTCTTGCGTTGCTTGGGCTCTACGCAAGAATCCTCCAACATCTTGCCCTTATCCTTGACGTGTGAAGGTTTTCCGGAATGGCGTTTCTTGGATACTCTGGAGAGGTTGCAAGCCTCTTCGCAAATCTCCTCGATCTTCGGACTCCTCTCGTTGGACTTATCTTTGAACAGCTCCTTGAGCTCTGCAAATACACTGGCTAGATGCAGTTCCGGTCGCTTGTCTTCGGCTTCCTTGGCTATAGACAAACGCGGCTGTTTGCGGGTATGGGGACAAAGATCAACGCCAGCTGACTTCTTAATACTCTTTTTCAGCAGCTCGTAGTCCCGCACTATGGCATCGAACGCCTCCGACGTGGGCCCATCTTCTGCGACACTTCTGCCAGAGCAGCCACTCATAGAGCCAAGAGCAAAGCAGGCTGCATCTTCAGGCTGCTCTAAATGGGTCAGCAGGATTTTCTCAGCTGTTGCCTCCTCGTCATATGGCTTCTCCTTGAATATGGGCACTGGCTTGTAGCCGCAGTATGGACAGGCCCCAATCTTTGGCAGCCAAGATACGTCCTCCCCGCAGACTTGGCACACGCGACACGAGCTGATAAGCGTCTGCTTCAGGTCCGGCACCGACACTTGATGGCACAGGCGGTTGGTGGTGCCATCCCCGTACGCTGCCTGTCGTTCGGGCGAGAACTGATCCGAGGGCCCTCTTGGAGGTTCAATGGTGAGGCAAGAGTCGTCCGCGTCTGGGCAGCCATAGACTGCGTAGGGTCCTGCCATGTCCACCAGCTTCATGGGCTGGCCCTGAAATAGTTTGCCTTTCGGTTGTGAAGTGAGGGTATTTGAGAGGGTGAATACTCACCTCGGGGCCACAGCATTTGTTTAGGATGCCGGCGTCGTTGACGTTGCGCATGTTGAGGGTGCGGAACTTGGAAAGGCTGCTGCGGGGGTCCGAGCAACGGTGGTCGGACTGCTCCACGTCATCGGGCCTGAAGCCTAGACATGGGTCGGTGGAGGAGGATGGAAATGTTTGAGAGCTGTCCCCCACCATGAAAAAGACGTCCTGCTGGTCCACAAACTTTTCGATGCATTCCTTGAGATCATCGCTCTCCGAATATAGACCGGAGGCGGTCCTGTCTATTTCTCTATTGAAGTTCAGGGGCTATCGCATTTAGGTGGCTTCAGGTTCCGTCAGTAGTGCTACTTACTCTTTCATGTCTTGGCACCGCATCTGCATAGAGATTCTCACGGTGGCCATACCAACGGTGCACCCACGGCAGGTGAGCTCCACGTTGGCAGTGTGCACCACTTGCTGCACAGTGTTGCACATGCGCAAGATGACTGACTCGGGAAGCACATAGCAGCCTCGACCTTTACGAGATTGAGGTTGATTTTAGAACATTTCCATTAGAAGGTGGTTGCTGATAGTACGTACCTATCTCCTTTTTCATATAGACGACTGCGAGGGAGATGCCCTCCGCCAGACTCTTTGCCAGACACTCACCCACCATTGGGAAGGTCTTTAGCGGCTCGGGGGGCAGACATAGCGCGTTGATGCGATCTGCTTTAAGGCATGGAGCAACCCCTTTGCAGATGTCCACCTTGATACTCAGTTTGTCCTGGCACTCGAAGTCCCGGCCCGGCATGTACAGCTTCTGGACGACCATGTTGACCGTGAAACACCGCATGGCGTCCTTGTTGGACTTGCCTTTCTGACCAGGCCCAGGACAGATCGGTTCAGTCTGTCCCTTGGGGGGGCAGGTCGAGCAGCAGACATCGGTGTCCTTCGGGAACATTTCCTTCTCCCGGTTGTTCTGCCTGGTGGTGCATCTCATATAGTCGGCCCTGTCCCTATCCATCTTGGTGGTCACCAAACAGCGGTGGTGGTCATAACTCTTTCTATCCTGCTTCACTGGCTTGTCCTGCGTCTTGGGTTCCTGCTCATTCTCCTTCTTCTCAACGGTGGCCATTGTTCAATCAAATTTGGGACACGAGTCTAAAAATTTCCTTGCACAAATAATTTAAAGCACGCGAGCAACGCTACGAAAAATTCACATAAATTGTAACAATTTTTACGGGCCTGAAAACTTTCAAGTTAACGCCCTGAACTATCAATAGAGAATGAGCTCCTGTCCTACGAGTCCTACTAAAAAAAACAGTGTTTGCTGAAAGAAAATCTCAGGGCACTCTTTTTACTCCGATTTTTTTACTCAGAACTTTTTTACATGTTGTTTTTGTATGTGGTCCAGTTAGTTCAAGTCGAGTCTAATGGGTTACCAAATAAGGGTATAAGTTAAATGCCTAGTTTTCCGAGCTTTATTGTTCAGAGCTCCTATGAGTATCTGGAGTGTCGAAATATTCTAGGATCGGGTCAATGCCAATGCATTTGCATGGATACATTTGTAAAGGAAGACATGTCGAGAGAGTTGGACTTGTGCCAGTTTTTTTTTGATGTAGAAGATTGGGCCAGGAATATATTCGGGTCATCAAATCCCCCTGCCTGGCGTCCCGGCCGTGTCTTCTTTTTCTTTGTCTTGGACTTATTGCGCATAATAGGCTTTTTGGGCTCCTGGTGTACGTTGCCCTTGCCGTATATCCAGTCGAAGCGTTTCTTTCGCTCACCGAGCACGCAGGCGCCGTATTGGACGTAGGGATTCGGAGGATGGGGGAACATACTGGGCATGGCCCAGTCGTTTTCGTTGTACTGCGTTTCAGTGTGCTTCACGTGGGACTTCTTCAGTCGTTCTGGCTTGATGACCCCAGCAGGCGGAGTGACTCCGAATTCGTACTCTTCCTCGCTGTCGCTCTCATCACCTGTAATTGGGGAGTAGAAGAATGTTTTTATCTTCTCCGGCCATCCCCGCTGCTTAAGCATGCTTTCCACCTCGTACTCGAGGCGCTTTTTGTCAATGTGACTGCGACAATAGCAGCTAGTTACTGGCCTGTTGCACTTGCAAGGAGGGAATCCCTTCTCTTTAAGGAGCATTTTCATCTCACGCAGCCTGGCTGCACTGGGATCCTTTGTGATGCGAAAGACCACTGGCTTCATATCCGCATAGGGATTCGCGCACAGCGCTAGCGAGTGTGGGTCTTTCAGGGGACGCAGTGTGATGATATATTCGTCCCGTTTCTTAAGAATGTGCAGCGTAGGATGTTGCACCAGTGCCTCCTGCAATGGATCCTCTGGATCGGGTCTTTTGTTCCGGTAGTGGTAGCGCGAGAGGCATATGGTATCCACGGGGAAGTCCTTGAGGAAGTAAGCCATCAGTTGTCGTATTGGCCTGGAAATTGCACCCGGCCGCCAGGTCTTGAAGCGCGCCATATCGCTCTTTGTCCACATCCAGCCCATGTGGCAGGGAACCTTGCGGTAGCCGGTGTACTTGCTGTCACTGATGCATCGTCTGTGGCCAATGTGGGGACACACCTTTTTTTTCTGAATATCGAAGTACGTGTATCTGGGGAGCCGATAATGTTTGTATAAGTATGTATTATCTGGGAATGTCCTATGCGAACACAGCTCACCGCTTAGATCTCGAACGGAGGAGTCGAGCCTGGCGATTCTTTCTCTTGCTCTTCCTCTTCGAATCCTTTTCGATCCCTTTGAGTGATTCTCCCAGCGAAGGTCGAGCTCGGCGTCGATCCCCAGCTAACTTTGTGCTGTTGCATGCCGCCTCACATTCTTCGCGAAAAGCCGCGGCATTGGGGTCATCGTGTAAGTTCTTCTCGGACACCGTCTGCTCTTTCTTCTTACCGTACATGTTGCGCATCTCACTGAAAATCGTGATCAGCTTTGAGCGGTGCTGCGACGTGCTCGAGGGTATGTTTTTTAGTGACTGTCCCTTTTTTAGCTGACTTCCGTCTTTTTGAATTACGCGGGCGTTTTGGGACCTATTTTCCTGCTCTGTAAAGAACTGATCGCACAATTTGCGAATGCGACAGCGTGTGCAGATCCGTCCGGACATGCATCCGCACGCTTCAGGGAGGTTGGGATTAGGGTCAGGTAAGTTGGCATTAGCTTTTCTATCTTCCTCGGAGAAAACTATACAGGGTTCTTTGCGGAGGCAGTCACGGAGCAGCTGCTGTGCAGTGGCCGAGACGTCGTAGGGCTCTTCGCAGGAGTCCATGGTATCAAAAGTCCTGTAACCACAGTAGGGACAGCCGGCGACTTTTGGGAGCCAGCTAATGTCCGATTGGCAAAGGCGGCAAATATTCGGGCGCTTGTACTTCTCCTGCTTTAGTTCTGGCTCATTCGTGTCACAGGAACCCAGTAACTTCCTGCGGATCAGTTCCTGCTGCGATGCGGATAAGCAGAGCCGTCCACTGCCCGAATTCTGCTTTTTTTCCTCCAACCAAGTGTCATAAAGACAGTCACTTGAGTTTGTGTCCGTGCTCACCGGTGATGAACGCTGGCAGTGCCACCGTCTGGACTCCTCGTAATTGCAAGGCGGAGCGGGAATCTGCGCCTTGTCGAGTCCTAGCTCCCTAAACAGGTCTTTCAGCATTCCTTGTTCCTTTTCCCTGTGCACCGCTGGGTCAGGGGGAATTTCAATACCCGCTACTGTGCAACCACACTCTCCGGCATCGCGCGAGCTGTCGTTGTGAACGCACTGGAATGGGGCACCGGTATGTGACATCAGCCGCTGGTCCGTTATGCACGATGTGCCCGGACACTTACCAGAGCGACCTAGGGTGAAGATTACGTCCCGATAGTTGATGGACTTATCAACGGGCCGACAAACATCGTAGCAACCGAGGGGCACAAGTCCGGGGCTGAGATAGGCAAAAAAACATACTAAGTATTCTTGATAGGATGCACGAATACTCGGTGAATACTCACTCAAGTTCCGGTTGAAGTGAGCTAAACTTGATGATAATCTCGACTGATTCAATCACCTTCCTATCCTTTGACAGATCTAGATGGATGGTTTCGGTGACCAGAAAGGTGGGATCGGTAAGCTGGCGGAGCAAGAGCGGGGTCAACAGGGCGCTACCGGCCCCGAGGAGATTCCCGCTTTTGCTAACCGTCACGCAAACCCCCTTCGAGGTCAAAATGCCGATGAGCTCGCAGGGACTGGCCACAAACTGACCCAGAGGATCCATTGGGAAATCCTCCACGAACATACGATCCTCGGGAAGCTCTTCAAATTTCTGGAACAGCCGAATGGAGTAAGTGTAGTCACTACTCGTACCGGGTTCACACAATTTAGACTGGACCAGTAGTACGTCGAAGTTATAGGTTTGCTGTGTGGGCTCCATGGTGAGCAGGCGTAAAACTTATATAAAAATTGAGTTTATAATTGTGTTTACTGTCTGCGGATTTGGTAAAACTTTGCTAAAATTTAAAACTATAAAGCTCCTCGGTCAGTACATAAAAAACGTGTGTAGAAAAGATTGAGAGGCAATAAATTCCCAGGTACTGTCAATGTCCGAACATACGAGGATATAACATATAACACAGGTCACTAGGTTTCAATATCTCTCTAAAACTAGGTCATCTGGAACAGAGTTTCGAAAATGAGCGTTGCTTAGTTTAAGAATTTTAACCCTTATCAGAAACTACATAATCAGTTATCGCGTTCATGGTGCACCTTTCGTTGGACCAGCAAGACCCCAGCTATTTTATATTCCATTAATAACATGCATAGTCAAGTTGTTTGGAAAATGAGCTTGTGTGTGAGTAGCGTAAATATAATTATAGCTCAAATAATTTAACATTTGATATACGATGAACAACAGTGTATAGGTTTACTCGCAAGGGAACTGAGAATTTTCGACTATATTCCATGTCTACTTTCCGACACTATCTGCCGGACTTCCGGTAATGACAACAAACAAGATAAGGTGCGTAATGCATAATGCAAGTGGGAGGGTTTGGGTCCCCCGCTCCGCTCCCTTTGGGCAGTTTCTTTGCTGCATTGGATTGGTAGGATGCGTCTTATTGTCTGGCGTTGATGATGTCAACAAATTCGGGCTTCAGGGAAGCACCGCCGACTAGGAAGCCGTCGATGTCTGGCTTCTTCGCCAGCTCCTTGGCGTTGGCTGCGGTCACAGAGCCACCGTACTGGATGCGCAACGCGGCGGAAACCTCCTTGGATATGTTGTCGGTCAGCCACTGGCGCAGGAAGGCGTGCACCTCCTGAGCCTGAAGTTAAAAGTTTGGTGGGTAAGAAAGCAGAATGGATGCAGGGTTCCGTCATTACTCACCTGTTCGGGGGTGGCAGTCTTGCCAGTGCCGATGGCCCACACAGGCTCGTAGGCGACAACCACGTTGGTCCAGTCGCGCACCTTCTTGGCATAGGCGCACATCTGACGGGCGACGACTTCGTTGGTCTTACCAGCCTCGCGCTCATCCAGTGTCTCACCGATGCAGGCGATTACCTTTAGACCTTCGGCCAGAGCATGCTCTGCTTTTTCGGCGATCAGCTCGTCGGACTCGTTGAAGATGGCGCGACGCTCAGAGTGGCCCAGGATGACCCAGTCCGCCCCGATATCCTTGAGCATGGATGGAGAGATCTCCCCCGTGAAGGCTCCTTTGGCCACCTTGTATGCGTTTTGGCCCGCCACGCCCACGGTACAGGGTAGCAGGTTGCGGGCGTACATCAGGTAGATAGCCGGGCAGCCGATGACCACCTCAGTGTTAGGGTCCAAAGCGGCACCGCTAAGAGTCTTGCAGATCTCCGCAATGGACTTCTGGTCGCCGTTCATCTTCCAGTTGCCTCCCACGCAGAATTTTCGGGCGCTCATTTTGCTGTCTGTGCTGAAGTTTGCGTAGAGCTTCAGGCCGGGTCCGCAAGAATGCAAGAGTAAGTTAGTTAGATGTTGAAAACGGTAATTTCGATACGGGCAGTGTTGAAAGAAATGAAATGATTAGAAATTCGCCGTCAACTTTTTCTTTTACTTACAATTTCGCTAAGAAGTTTGCTAACCTTCTTCTGACCTTCCGACGGGCGCTTTGAAAGCTTTGGGAAAACAGCTGTTGGCTTGTGAGCTTTCGATGAAACGCTCAGGCGCAAGTCCACCGATATGTCAGCGCTCGGGTTGTTGTCCATGATTGCGCGGGACAGCGGGCCACTCTGATGC